CTGTGCTTTCTGGAGAATCCGGAAATGGTGGTTTGTCTGGACTCTCCAGACTCCAGCAGGGAAAGCAACAGAGAAGACAGGCACCCTGGCTTGTCCAGAGGTCTTGCTCCTCACAGCCGGTAAACACACTAGGTCTCATTGCAGTGACATCAGCCCCCCCCTTCTACGAGCAGCCCCTTCACTCTACGGTGCTGATTGTTCACTTCAAAAGAAAACGTAGACCCAGTTGAGACAACTTACATTTTCAGTTGTCTGTTACAGAGGAGTGAAATTGCTCATTTATCTCCATCTGCTGCTTAGCTATCCTGCTAAGAGATTTGAAAGAAAGAATATTGTTGGCATTATGTGATCTGAAATGTGTTGAGATTTTGAAGTTATTTTTTTAGAAAAGATGAAATGCTCTGTAGCATTGATGGAGTAATGAGACTTTGAGTTTTTCATACTCGGACCCACTAGTATTAGAATAAAAGTATCAGACCTTTAAAAAAAAGACATTCTGGTACACACACACAATGGAATATGATGCATTGCTAGAAAAAGGAAAAGATCGAACCACAAAGCACCTCGTGGCCTGCATGACCCTGAAGAACATTATGCTGAATGAATGAAAATAGGCAATCACAAAATAAATATTATATGGAACTAATGTTATGAGTAAACAAACAAACAAGATAAAAAAACTTCATATCAAAGGGAAACACACTTTGGAGACTTTGAAGTTTGCCAGGCAAAGGACAAGGGAGTGAAGATGAAGCAGTGGCTATTTCTGTCCTGCAGAATGCCTTGGAAAGTAGATTGTTACAGGTGTAGGTTCTTGGAAACTGGGTTGTTTGGGGTTATTGACAGGTGTTGAAATGGGTGAAATAAAAATTAGTAGTCCACAAAAGGGAGAATAGAAATCAAAGAGCAGGTGCAGGGTAAACTATTGGGGGGGTGATGAGTAGTTTAAACTGTTGACTATAAAGTTAATTATTTGAAATGTAAACTTGCACCTAATATGAAATTTTTTTAATTACAAAAAATAAAATTAAAATTTGTTTTAAAAATTCACAGTGTCAAGATGAGTCGGAATTGACTCAATGGCAGTGGATAAACATATGAGTCTTCCTGTTGAGTAAGTGGATAAAGATAACAGTTGTACCACATGGTCATTGAACTGTACATGTGAAGATGGTTAAAATATCAAATAATTGTTACATATATTTAATCTGATCAAAACAAGATCATGTCTAAGGTGGTATCTATACAGTTTCTGTCTTGGGCTCTGTTTTAGGTGGGCTGCCAGAGTGGCTTGCAGGTGGGTCTGTGCCCCTTGCTGGCCTAGTCCCCACATCCTCCGTGTTTCTGCATTTGTGTCATGGGAATAATACTTAGGTCCCTATTTTATTGGGTCTGGATGTGGGAAAGTTCCAGATACCTGAATGTTTCATGAGAACTTAGAAAGGTTTCAGGATTTTGTTCTGTTTGTCCATAGACCTGCAGCACTGAAGACACCAGTAAGTATTTCTTAATTCCACATCCTTCTTACGTGTCAGTTACGTTCTGCCCTATCCTCTTGAACAGTGTGGTCACATGAAAAGGAAGACGAAAGCAGACCCCGGAAGTTGTTTCTTTCCAAGCATTAATCATGATGGTTCATGCCATGTACCTTGAAGTGTTTTAGTATGTGGACTTCATGACATAAAAGTGCTGGGCTCGTTATGTGCCTCTCTGGACAGTCTCAGTCCTATACCACTTGACTCTCAACCTTGACCTGGCCTCTTGCCTAGGGTCCTAGCTTCCCCAGGTCTTGGTATTCCTTAGCTCCCGACAGTGAAGGCCAGGTTTGGCATGGCTACTATTCCCCCCACCAGGTAGAGCTGCAGTTAGTTCAGGGGTCAAGTAAGACCCGTAGGACTTCACTTCCATGTTGACATGGCATCTAGCATCTAGCACTTCGCTTCTGAAGAGCTAGGTAACAACCAGGGAGTGCAGAGGTAAATGACAGCTGTTGGGGCGCACATACCCCAGTGAGAGAGAGATTATTAAAGTAGATAAAATTTTAAAAGTAGATAAATCCCACTCACTCCCATCCTACCCCCTGACAGACTGTTCTAAGGCACCTTGATTTTTCAAGGCCTGCTTGAAAGATTCCCTGTGATCAAACACCCTAATTCATTTTGTTGTGACACTTCAGCCTACTTGAAAGAAGCAGTATCAGTTGCTAACAAGCTGTCTCTAACTCATAGCAACCCTATGTGTGTTAGAGGACTGTGTTCTATAGGGTTTTCAATGACCGATTTTCCGAAAATGGATTGCCAGACTTTTCCATGGCAATTTTGGGTGGATTCCAGACTTTACCTTTTTAGTTAACAAGTAAGCATTTTAACTATTTGTATCACCCTGCTTAGAATAAGCTCCCTTGTATTTGTTTACCCTACTGCCCTGCCTCACCCCTTTCTCCTCACTCTTGTTGCCCTGGGGTTGCACTTGCTAATACGTCTCACCCAGCCTGAACTCGGCATTGAGACATTTACCAGGCTTGTTGTCTTCAGGCCTATTGTCTATTTTCTTAGTCTGCAAAATGCTCACTCCCTTAACAAGCAGAATGTTTGTTCCTAGAAAGCAGTGTTTATTCCCTTAACAGACAAAATATTCATTTTTAGCAAGCAAAGTGTTCATTCACTTAGCAGACTGAAGTCCCTGTCACCCTCTAAATAGCTATCAGATGATGGAATGAATGAATGAATGTGTGTGACAGCAAGATGCTTATGTAAATCAGTAATTCATAGCATTTTAATTAACTTCACTTTAAGCTGTGCATATTCAGTAAAATGTTTAGTAACTGGTTAGAGGAAGAGGAAATCAGTCTTTGTTGTGTTTTACCCATTTCTCATCATTAAAAAGGTCCACGGTTTCTCGATGTCTTTTCTATGGTTTTGTCATGCATTCTTCGTTTCTTAAGAGCATAGCTGGTCTCAATTTATGGTTAGTTTTCTTGGTCTCTGTTTTAGGGACAGCTGTTTTCATTTAGTCTCATTTCCAAGAAAGAATTGAAATTTTAAAACTTTGTGTTCTATGTCTCAATATATTTTGTGTGCACTACTAGAAAGGAAATAAAACTTAAAGCACATGCTTTCAGTGCTGTCACTAAACTCTTGTTTCTGTAAATAAAATTATAGAGTATCACTCTTTGAAAACTATAAATGAAGAACACAGTGAAATTGCCAGTTAACATCAAAGCAGTTATCAAAAATTCCATTTTAACCCTAATTGTGCATTAATATTAGTGTTTCCGTCTCTGCCTCACTTCTACTCCATGCACTCAATAAAGTGACCTTTACTGTTATACCCTTTCCAAAATCCCTCTTTGTTTAAAGAGAAAAGAAACCTCTTATCCCTCTATGTAAGTGATCACCATGACCCTACTACCTCTGAGGTAATTTATAAATTACAGTATGTTGTATATAAGTCTGCATCTCCTGAAATGAATTAAATTAAAAGATAAGGTATGTTTCCCTGTGTATTTCCTTTTGTGATTGGCTTACTGTATGTACTCGAATATAAGCTGACCCGAATATCAGCCGAGGCACTTAATTTTCCACAAAAACTGTATCAAAACTATGCTGAAAAACTCGGCTTATACTCAAGTATATACGGTACTAAATATTTATGATAATGAAAAATAGGAAACTGAGAAGAGGAAGAACTCACCAGAAGCCCATTTCTCAGGTTCATCCAATTGCTAGCACTTCAAATACCCTCCATGTTTTTGTTACCTGCACTGTCCAGCAATCTAGCACCTGAGTTTGCCCTAAAAGAAACTCCTTGTCGTTGAGTCATCCATCTATTGGCCAGTAGTAGAATTACTGAGACAAATAAGAGATGAGAACTATAGAAATACCAATTTTTTTTCAAAATAGTTAACTTACGATCTCACCAGGAGTTGGTGGGCTTACTTATTTGCTAGTTCTGGAGGAGATGAATCTTTCCTTCGTTTGCATTGTGATCATTACTAATGAAGGTGAACAACTTTTCCAAGCACTTGTGCACTATGTGTTGTTGCTATTGTTTTGCTGCATTTTCTGATTTTGTCCCAAGAGTCTTAGTGCTGTGATCAAGCTGAAAAATAAATCAGGCCAAACCATTTTTGTGGAGCCTTTTCCAACTCATAGAGACCGCTGGCACATCCACCCATGTGTCCCAGAATACGGCTACGCTCCATAGAATTTTCAATAGCTAATTTTTTGGAGGTTCATTGCCAACCCTTTCTTCCAAGGTACCTCTGGGTAGATCCAAACCTCCAACCTTTTAGTTAACAACCAAAGACTTTATCATTTATACCACCCAGGAACTCAAAGCTGCTAAATTATAGTTTGTTGTTATTTGTTGCCGCTGAATCTATTCTAACTATTCCTTTGTGGCTTAAAAAAAATATCACTTTTACTGGATTCTAAGGAGTTGAACATGGCTAGGGATTCCAAGCAGTGACTGTGTTTTCTGCACCTGCAAGTATCTCCTTGGGAACAAGCCATGGCATGTCTGAAAGAACTGGGCCCTTTAGAAGACCATGCATTAGGAAAGATCAACTCAGGCGTGTTTTATCAAATTGAAGGACCTGTCTACAACTACTAATCCTGTTCGTTTGAGAGAAGTTTGGAAAATATAGGACCCGGCCTGGGGCAGCCCTAGCTACAGGTGTAGGAGCGGACACACTGGTTGGCAAGGGTATTGAAACAGTGCTTTCCTGAATGTGTCCCTGAATCAGAATGAAAGTGCCATGCCATAAACCAACACCAATGTTTGACCAGGTGAATGCCAGGGCCACTTCTGGCTTTGGCTGTTGTCTACCCACCTACCCAGGCCTGTAGTGATCACAGCCCACAAACTTACGATATGCTGGTGAGCAGAAACCCCTAGTTCTAGGCTTTAGGGAAGAGCCCACTGTAGCAGGAAGACTTCGACTACACCCAGCAGTACATTAAGTCAGCACATTGACACTGAATTCTCTTGCTTTACAGGGAAGTTGAAGGAATGGAGCCTGATTCTGTATGGCACAGCTGAGCACCCATATGATACCTTCAATTCCCATCAGTCACGCTCGAGGATGCTAGAACTTGCCACCCCAGAACTGGAGTCATCCAAGGCAGCCATGCTCCCAGCCCAGGCTGAGGTTCCTGAGGAGGAGGACTATTACACAGGTAGTAAATCTGAGACAAGAGTAACTAGCAAGCCTCCGATTTTTGCTTTTCTACTGCAGTTTTCAAAATAAGGGTTACTCCTGCAGGAGGTGGGGATGATGATGAAATGCCTTCTCATTCCTAGAAGCTGTAATAATAATGGTAATTTGCACTTACACAGCTCCTTCTACCCAAGACTCGCCTAATATCTTACAGCTGAGTAAGTATGCTTCGAACCAGTAAGTATGCTCTGACCTTGCCAAACTGGGAAACTGAGGACCTGTATGCCCAATCAGAACAGGAACCTTACCCTGGTCACTTAGCTATCTCCTGGGCCACTCCTTTTTCCTCTCAGGCCCCATCTCCTTTTCACATTCACCCGCATTTGGTCCTTGGAGGTTGCTAACGGGCCTGGTCCGCTGTATTGTATCTGCAGAGCCAGAAAAGATCTGGTCCAAGGTTTTAAGAAGCTGTCTTTAGAGACCGAGGACAGGAGTACAAGACATTCAGTTAATAGATACTGATGCTGCACAGGGAAAAAACAAAAACAAAAAACAACTCTTACAAACTTCCCAGGCAGTAAAGACACCTCTGTGAATCCTGTCTTCAGCCATACCATAGCATCACCTCAACTGGCCCCAGTGTACTGTACCAGGGCCCCAGAGCCCTGCAGCAGCCAGCAGCAGGCTCCAGCACTTCCAGCCCAGCAGTTTTTATTAGATAGAAAGCTGTGCCCTCCCTCCAAAACATTACCCAAAGAATTCTGAGAAAGGTATTCCCAGTTTGATATATTTCCCTTAGCTAAATATTACAACTATGTGGTAAATTGTGAAGATTGATATCATGAATCTGATGCTATGAACTATGTAATCAGAAGACTTATATAATCACTCCTGGGGAGGGAATGACAGAATGGAAAATTTCACTAATCAAAAATAAATCATGGCTGATTCAATTTAAAACTGATCATCAAATTATGTTTGGACTAATCTGCTTCATTTCCCCCCTGTGATTTATAAATGGTGCAGGCACCTCAACTGGCCCCAGTGTACTGAGCCAGCATGGTTCATTAGCAGAGCTGGTCAGGAAAGAGGTACAGACGGAAGGCACTCTGGGTAGAAGCAGCTTCAGTTCCAGACAAGCCTGAGAGCAGAGGCCCAAGGTGAACGAGAGGGTCATAGTGAAGCAGAGAGAAGACTGTGAACAACTTTTACAAGCCACTCAGCTTACACAGTTTTAGCACGGGGCATCTAGAGCAGGATTATATCGGGCTGACTCCACAAAATAGGCCAAATTTTCCCAGGTACTGAGATGTTATGGGGACAGCACAAGAGGGGGTCACTCTCTTTGGACCCTTGTTCTCTGTAATCAGCCAACCTTACCTTTGTACCCTCCCGCCACCCTATGTCTCCTGCCTTATGGTAAGGTTCCTGTGCACCGACCCTCTTAAACACTAAATCCTCTTGTACCTTCAAAAATCTGTCAGATGCATAATGGCATTGTCTACTAGCTAGCCACTCCTCACTTGCTTTCTACCCTTTGTTTGCTTGTTTGTTTTTCCTGGATTTGCTCCACAAAGGATTTAAGATAGCATTTTACAATAAAACCCATGTCAATATAGTCAAATGTATCAAGGACACAACTGTTAGCATTTGCTGCAATAATTGAGCTCCCTTTGTATACAGAGCCTACTGTTAGGAATGATGGGAAGCTATACAGGAAGGACTATAGATTCTTAACAATAAATGAAGCCAGATTTGTGTGACTCAGCCAAGAGACTCGTTATGGACAGCAGAGAATGGGACTTTTTCTTTCCCTTGAGTCTCCTATGAAAAATCCTGGTGGCCATCAGATCACCTCCTCTTCACTTCAGCACTCACTCCCCGTCCCCTCTAATCCTTAAAACTTTTGATATTTTTTGTTCCTTACATATGCTCAAAAACCTTGATAACTCTTCCTTAGCCTTTTTCATACCTGTACAGTGGAGCCGTCCACTCAGTGAAGTGGTGAGGCTTTGCTGACCCATTTACCTGGTGGAGAAGTACAGCTGGAAGATCAAGCAGGAGGGCCCCACCTCAGTGCTAGCTTCAGTCGGTCATTGTCCAAGCAGGAATCTACATTCTTAAGACTGGGCCGCAAAGAAGAAAAGCAATAATAATAACTCATTAATTTTTTTTAATTCAGGCTGCAAAAGACCCCCCAAACTCAGCTTCAGATAGTGCCCCACCACCTCAAGGAGTTTAGAAGTTTAAAGGGGACCTAGCACTCAGAGGGGCAAGGTATGTGGAGCCCACTGAGCCTTGCTGTGTTTCGTTCCACCACTTCCCAACAACACAGGCCTCTCGAGAGTTAGGATTGGGGGACTGGAGGAGACTCCAGAAATTACCACTTAGAACTCAAGTGAAAGAAGCCAAAAAGGAAGTCTGCTTAAAAGTAGCCAGCTCGGGTAGCCTCCCCTGCCCAGGCACAAAGGACCCTGCCTCTCACATCCCACACCTGCCCAGAACAGCTTAGCTGTGCTCAGGAGGTCCTGGACGCAGGAACCTCCATCCTCATCGACACCACCCAAGTAGGGAATTTGCTGTCCAATTCATGTCAAATGATCACTGCTTGGGAGCAGCTACCTAAACAGCCCATTTTGGCTGCTCTGTCCATCATAAAATCAAAAGGGCGGACCAGCAGAATGACTCGGTGTCTTTGCTTCCCCATCACAGCCTTCTCTTCCAGTATCTCATAATTCTGTTTCTTCCCTGATCTTGGTCCCTACCCCATCACCCACCCCCTTGGCTATTTTACTGGCTCTCATCAAATGCCTGTGCACAATGTTCTGATCCTGACTGAGCCCATGCTTGGGGCAGCCTACACCTGTGTCAGTTTGTATGGCGAGGGCCCCATACACAACTCTACCTACTTCTAGCCTACTGTCTCCACAGAGGCCTCACATCTGGCTAAAAATGCATCTCTAGAGATGAAAAAAAATTCTTATCTCTTTAAGGTGTGTGCCATCCGGAGTGTGGTGACAAAGGCTGTGACGGCCCCAATGCAGACCAGTGCTTGAACTGTGTGCACTTCAGCCTGGGGAGCACCAGGACCGGCAGGTAATGAGAGGGCTTGGCAAGTTTCCCACTGGGTCCCCACAGCTATACCCTGATCACCCACTCTGTCCAAGAGGGGAAATCACATGGATGTACAGCTCTGAGTTTAAAACTTTTCTAGTAACATAATGTAATAACCCAAGACATACATGATCACAAAATAAAATCCCGTAACTATATCATTTTGATGTCTGTACTTATAAACCTTTACACAAAAGGTTTACCCAAAACTGAGATTGTCTTGGTGAGAAGAAAAAAGCATGGTCACATAGATGCTATCTAACCCCTTCTCCAAACAAGACCTTTAAACACACACACACACACACACACACACACACACACACACACCCTTAAATAGCTGAGTTTCAAACCTCCCCAGGAGAACACAAATGAGGGAGAAAACTCACACAAGAACCTCTGAAAAGGTTGCAGATCTTTAGCTGCACCGACAAGACACCCCTCCCCACAATGTTCCAGACCATGTTGGTGGGAGAAAAGGTGAGCTGACTCCTCACTCCCCCATACCCATGTGGCCCCAAGATTTCATCCAATGCCACAGAGAGTAGTGACACTTCTCTCCCAACATATGCTGGAGGTGAGCCTCTGCTGAGGAGGTCAGGAGATAAGATAGTTGAGATCACACTGAGCAAGGGCAAACCTGGTTGGACTCACACACCTGGAGAACTAGTGTGAAAGAAACTGAAGTTTATTAACTTCCCGCACCCTTGGAGTTGAAGAAGATGCAACCCCCATACCGGATACCTGCCAGATAGGGATGATTGGATTTAACATCGGACTTTGCTCTGACATTCAGCTCCAGGGAAGATACAGCTTACAGGGGGGGCAGGGTTTCTTGGGTATTGTCTTTTTCCTCCCTCATGACAGCTATTTCCGGGAAACCACCAAGGCTGACCCTAAGATTAGGACCTGGATAGGAAATAATGCAAGAAATACCAGAAGATTTCCCTACCGTTATGACAGGCCAGAAAATAACTCAAAATAGAATCAACCCCAAAAGAACATCATCATGACCAACTTTCTAACATCACAGAAAAGGAAAGAGTCCTGAATAACTCAAAAAATAAATAACTTACAAAGGCGAGCCCGTAAGAATAAGCTCACATGTTTCAATAGAAACTATATGGCCAAGAAGACAATAGAATGATATATAAAAACATTAAAAGAAAAAAAATTGCTGTCTAAGAATAGTATATCCCGAAAAATAGTTCTACAAATGCAGGGGCAAAATAAGGACATTTTCAAACAAGGAAAACAAAAGAATTTGAAAACAAGACCAACCTTACACAAATACCGAAGGCATTTCTTTGGACAGACAATAAACAGCAGCAGACAGCAACTTAAAATCTATATACAACACACCATCGTTGAGAAATCAACCCACTCAAGAAATTCTCAAAGTGAAACAAAAAACCACAAACTTCAAAACAGGGAACCAACCCTATTATTCCACAATGACAACAATAATAAGGTAATAAAGTGGATATAAAACAGTCTAACAGAGAAGAAACTGAATAGTTTGCAGCAGAGAACAAATGACCTTAAATTTAGAAAGAAAATAAAAAATAAATTAACCTCAGAATGGTAAAACCTTAGCAAAAATTCACCAGTTAGAGACAAAAACTAGTAGAATGGAGAAGAAAACATGACCTATCAATAAGCTGCTTATAAGAAATTCACCTCAGACACACAGAAAAAAACAGATGATAAGATCAAAGGGTGGGGGGAGGGCTACTCAAGCTAATGGTAGTTTAAGAAAAAAATAGCAAATTAATTTCTGACAATATATATCAAAGTAAAAGCCATCACGAGAGACAAAGAGCCATTACATAATTATTAAAACCACAACTGAACAAAAAGACATAACCACAATAAACATCTATACACCCAACAAAAGTTGCTCAAAATACATTTATCAGACTCTCACAGAGTTGAAAAGACAAATAGACAAAACTATAATAATAGGAGACTTCAATACACTACTCTCAAGGGAAGCAAATCAACTGGAAATATAATCAATAAAGATACAGAAGAAATAACACAAACAGCTTTATTTCTTAAATGTATACAGAACACTTTACCCAACAACACAGTGTACCTTCTTTCTCGGCACATATCCATACTCCTGAATAGATCATATGTTAGGCCATAAAGCAAGCACCAAAAAATTTCAAAATATCAAGATACTACACACTATCTTCTCAGATCCTAATGCTATAAAATTAGAAATCAATAGTAGGAATAACAAGCCAAAAAATCAATCACATGGATACTAAACAACACTTAAAAAACCACTGAGAAAATGAAGAAATAAAAAGTGCAAATAAAAAATTCCTCAAATTTTGGTATACAACATACCAAAATCTTTAGGACACAGGTAAAGTAGTACTCAGAGGGCAATTTAGAGCAATAAATGCACACATCAAAAATAAGAATGAACAAAAATTAACATCACAGAAAAGGAAAGAGTCCCGAATAACTCAAAAAATAAATAACTTACAAAGGCAAGCCCGTAAGAATAAGCTTAAATACCTACAACAATGAGAACAGTGGCAGCAAAACAAACCTTTAGTCACCAGAGGAAAAATAATAAAGATTGAGGCAGAAATAAATGAACCAGAAAGCAGTAAAACAATAGAAAAAACAAGAAGTTGGTTCTTTGTTTTTTCCAAAACCATTTTATTGGGAGATAATACAGATACCATGTAGTTCCATAGTTCATTCATATCAAGTGGTATTGTACAACTGCTACCACAGTCAGTTTCAAGCATTCTCTTCTTGAACTCCTTGACATCAGCTCCCTTTTACCCCCTCCCTACTGTAGCCCCCCAGGAGCCCCTATTCTGCTTGCTGTCTCTATAGGTTCATCAGTATTGGATTTCATATACTGAAAAACATAACAAACATTCAAGAAGGTCAACCCCAGTGACTAAATGCATCTGAGATAAACCAAACACACACACACAGAAAATGTTGAACACCAGATCAAGCCCAATGTGCATCCGATGGGGATCAACTGACAAGGTTTTAGCCATTCAAATCAGGTTTCTCATTTTGATCTCCTGTAATCATCTCTCCCATGTACTCTGGTAACCAGTTTCTTCCCATCCCTCTTTTATGGACAGAGGGAATTCACCAGAGGCTTATTTCCCATGTAGATCTCACACTTGTGTCTTGGGCTCCCACTGCCAACCATATCCTTTTGCAAATCAGAATCTCACAATTTAGGCTCTGATAGCTATTTCCTTCTTCGGCTTCAGATTATATGATTTACAGTTCTTTGGTCACTGATGTTGGTGTGTTTCTTCCATGTGGACTTAGATGACATCTCACTTAGATGGCTGCTTGTTTGATAACAATCCTTTAAGACCCCAGACACTATTTTATCTAATAGCTGGGCACCATCTAATTTCTTCACCACACTTTGCTATAGCACCCATATCTTCTTTATTCCTTTCCTGAGGGTGAATATTGAGCAGAGCTATGGTGTAAAAACTAATTGTTCTTAAATTGGAGCTAAGATTTAGTGAGAGCCCAAAACCCATTCCTAGATCTATGTTTTTTTGTGGGTTTTTTTGTCTGCTTTTGGCTCTCTTGTTAATTTATGGTAAAGAGTCTTATCAATCATATCCCTGGGGCATAAAGATCTTCTATTAATATTGCCATCTGATTAGCCCCTGGTACTAATTTTCTAAAGCACTATTGAGAGAGGGATATTGAGCCAATGTAGGTTATCTCCATATTGCAATACCTGCATTATTCGCTTGTATAGACTCACTCCTTTCGTGGCTGGATGCTCTTTACACAAACAATGGGAGTTGGTGTCAGGTAAAATTTACAATAATCTTCACTAAGACTGTCAGTCACAGGTTTTCTGGAATGATATATAATTTAATACAGCATATAGATGCAGTGATGTAGTAAGTCAATGATTGCCTGCCTACCAATAGTACAATAATCTAGGTATAGCTGTCTTAAGAAGTTAGTTCTTTCTGTGATGCTCACCTTCCCGACATGATCGCTGGAGACAAAGCAGGTGCATAGCTAATGTGGTGAAAATAGCTGATGGTGTCCGGCTATCAAAAGAGAGAGCATCTGGGGTCTTAAAGGCTTAAAGATAAACAAGCAGCCATCTAGCTGAGAAGCAACAAAGCCCACATGGGAGAAGCACACCAGCTGGTGTGATCAT